AGATAGATAGATAGATAGATAGATAGATAGATAGATAGATAGATAGATAGATAGACAAACAAACAGACAGACAGATAGACAGACATACGGACAGACACACAATCACACAGACAGGCAGACTCCACGGAAAAATATGTTTCTTTTGGATGACTTACTTTTGGGTGCAAGGTAGAGAGCCTAACTATTACACCACGTAAGTCTATCTTCCGGTCTGAGGAAAACGTGAGCAAGTTCTCAACATTTACACTTACTAATTGCCAACAATCTTGTATATTTTCTGATGCCTTGTTTTAGTAAGGTAATTTTTCAGTAATCGAGACAGGCCCATAAAGAGTGGTTATGCAGGATTAGAAAAAGGAGGTCTTTGTCAGGAGTTACGAAAAAAGCCCCTCTTCTCGGTGATCCATCACTGTTGAACATGTGTTTATTTTAGACGTTTATACGGCTTGATCTGTCTCTTACCTCTCATGCTTGCTTTCTCGCCCTCCCCCTCCTCCCTCCCCTCCGTTCTCTCTTTCTCTCTCTATCTCTCTCCTCCTCTCTCCCTCCTACCTGCTTTCCTCTCTCTCTTTCTATTTTTCTTCCCCTCTCCCCCCAGCCCTATCCCCGCTTCTCTCACTCTCCCCCTCTCTCCATCTCTCTCTCTCTCTCTCTCTCTCTCTCTCCCCCTCTCTCTCTCTCTCCCTCCCTCTCTCCCTCTCTCTCTCGGACATAAATCGTGAACTCGGCTGGCGTGCAAAACTGTCAAGCCAAATGAGGAACGTGAAGGCTGCTGACGGACAAGGAGCTGTCAACTTCGTCACGAAAATCCCGCAGACAAGCCGTGCTCCATCCACCACGTTCTGGTCTGGTCTCTCGGCTTTAGAGCAAGATTGACAGGGCGCTCGGGCGTCCTTTTAAGGAAATGATGATGGGGAAAGAACATCTTTACAAACATCAGTTAGAAACAGCAGCACCGAGACATTTGTTTTATTAATGCATATATTTTATTAATAAAGAAACAAATGGATGCCTTACTTATGCTCAGTGTATAAGACCAGCAATCGCACACTCGACCCAACGCATTCCCACGAAGAACACCTACTATCAATCACAGCCAGACGCATACACACCGAGACAAAGTTACATGGCCCAGCTCATATGCAAATGAGCTGGGTGAGTTCATTATTCAATACTGCTGACCCAACATCTATTCTTTTCTTAAAGACCAAAGCCACTCTTTACACTAAACAGAAATAACGGGTGAAAAGAAGGATCAAAAGAATGGGGATTAAAGGATGATCAATGGACAGCTAAGCAAATTGTTGGTTATATTAAAATAAAAACAAGTAGATGGACAGGCATAACGGCAGACTAAACTTTAAAAAAGACAGACAGACAGGCACACACACACACACACACACACACA